TTGAAGAGAATTTCCTTCTCTATAGTATGCTCTGGCTCCTTCGTTGTAGATTAACCGTCCATATAAGTGTGGGTTTATTCCTGGACTGTCAGTTCTTTTCCATTTGTCTCTGTGTATATTTGTGTTCGAACGCCATACTGTTTTGTTATTATAGGCTTATAGTATATTTGGAGTCTGATACCACCATTCTATTTTGTCAAGATTGCTTTTGCTATTCAAGGCCTTTTGTTGTGCCAATACATTTCAGTAATGTTTGTTTTATTTTGGGGAGGAGGAATTATATAAAAATTCTGACGGGATTGCATTGAGTCTCTATATTGCTTTGGATAAAATGTCCCTTTGCATCACACAGAGAAATAACAATGTTAATTCTTCTAATCCATGAGCAAGAAATAATTTTCCATTTCTCTGTGTCTTCTTTTAGAACTTCTCCTCGGTCTGCTGTCACTTAAAAATAGCCAGCTTAGGTCTCTCCCTGGTGGTGCAATGGGTTTTAAGCACAGCACTGAGATGCTAGCTGCAGCTGCTTCAACACAAGTTCCATCCCCAGTCAGGGAGTGACCCACGTGGCACATCAGAGCTCTCCTTTCTCCTCGCTGCTCCCCTCAGCAGTGTACTTCGTCAGTCTGCCTGTTCTGCACCCCACTCTGTCTCTGGTGAATCCTCTCACTGCCCCTGTACTCTGGCCTATACCCCAGTTCTGTATAGATCAATAAATAAATCTTTAAAAACAATAGGCAGCTCAAGATAATGCTTATGCTAAAGAGGCAAATCTTGGTGTGGCAAACTCTCTGCCCTTCAACGTGCTTACTCCAGACTGCAAACCAAGCTGGCTCCCTCCCACCTGGCTTGACTTCCCCGATCGTGGACGCCTCATCCAGCTCGCTACCCGTGGATATGAGGTTGTGGGGTGTGAAAGCGGAGTGGACAGCCTCACCCCAGCAGTTGGGCTGATCCACTTTCCTCCACAGCAAAGCTTATCTTGCCACCATGCTGCCCACACGAATTACTTTTCATCTCATGTTTGTCAAAATCAAAGTTCTAGTTCTGAGCATATTCATGAATGTCTGTTCATCTTTGTGAAGAGCTCTATGGTGATTGCACTTGATCAAAGCTCACAGAGTGGGAGGAGATGGAAATTCTGGTTCAAAACCCTACCAGACCTGGGAATCCTCCTTCAGACAACTAGTGGGCAGCTGATCGCAGGCTTTGATCTCAGTGCTTGCAGCCACCGGGGCTTGCTGCCTTCCAGGCTTTGCCTGTCTAGTGTGGTTTTAATCAATAGAGCTGCTGTTGTCATGAAGAAAAGCAGCCACCATTTACTGAGCCACCATTTAACTGACTCAGCAATGTGGCCTCGAGGTACACAGCACAAAACTCAACAATCAAACCAAATTTATATTTCATGATGTTGCTCACTGATGGGTGTCCCCACCTCCCGGGCAGCCACTTTAACTGAGCATGTTGCCTTGGGGTTACCCTCACTTCTTTCGATACCAACAACAAGATTTGAAATTGTCCATCTTTTGGGGCCTTCCCTGGCGGTGCAACAGGTTAAAGTATAGCACTATGAAGCTGTCTGCAGCCGCTTCAGCCTGAGTGTGGTTCCTGGCCAGGGAGCTGACCCACATGGTCCAGCAGACCTCTCCTGTCCCACCTGCTGCTCCCCTCAGCAGTGTACATAGTCAGCTTTACTGTTCTGCTCCCAACTCTGTCTCTGGTGAATCCTCTCACCCCACCCCACCCACTTCTGGCCTGTACCCCAGTTCTGTATGCATAAATAAATCTTTAAAAAAACAAATTGTCCATCTTTTAGAGTGGATTCAATGCTTTCGTGACATTGCACCCAGAGACAGGCGTCTATTGAGCTTCAGCATCTTAACAAAATCGTCCCTTCAGCCCCTGACCTCTGTGCTGGCTCAAAAAGTCCTTGCTTTATACATGGGACTAATTCTGCTTTTGTGGAATTTTTTGGGTAATGGCTTTATGGAGCTCTAATTTACGTTATCATACAATTCAACTATCTGAAGTACACAACACAATGGTTTTCTGTAGTTTCACAGGATTGTGCAACCATTACCACAGTGGAATTTGAAATATTTTCATCCATTAAAAAAAAAAAATCCTGTGGTCTTTAGGGACTGCCTCCATTTCTTCCAGCCCAGGGCACCCACAAGTCTATTTTCTGTCTCTATGGACTTGCCTATTTAGGACATTTTGTATACATGAACGTGTGCGCACGTGGCCATCTGCGCTGTCCAGCACAGTGCTTTCCAGGTCCATCCTCATTCCATTTTAGTACAAATAATACAAGACTGTGTGTACGTGCCACATTTTGTCTACCTAGTGTACCTCTGGGTGGGTTCTATTTGACTTTACAAAGGCCGCGGTCTTTGTGTTATCAGTCCTGCTCACGAGAACCTGCTCAGACCATCTTTCCGGTGACAGCACGCGGTAGCCTAGGGATGGCTGCCTGCCTGCCCAACTCTGCCCCCAGCCTCCACAGTCCTTGGGTCGTTCTGCAAGTCGCCATGGGGTGGGAAGGATCAATGTCTCCTCTTTCCCCCTTCTGTTCTCCAGGAAAGGCAGTGTGGGGCCTTTCTCCGTGGGCGTGGTCACGGCAAACACTTTCCCCTTTGTTGACTGGGAGCAGCCTCAGCTGCCAGGAACACCTTCCAGGGAGTCCAGGGGCACCTTCCAGAGGGCCCAGGACACCTTCTAGAGGGTCGCTCCTGTGCCCACCTCATCTGCTTTTCTCCTCTCTCCTGTAGCCCTTGTCCGAGGGCCTTTCTCTTCTGCCTCTGTGCAGGAATCCCAAGCGGGGCCGTTAGAAAGAACAGCTCTGGTCTCCCCTGCACTGAGGCCGCATCGGGCTGGTGGTGTGGGCGTGGGAAGCTGCCAAATGAGCTGTATACACATCTGGCCCTGGGCTGTTCTGGGCTGCCCGAGCAAAGAGGGGCTCCCCTGAGAGAACTGAGCCAGCTGACCTTACAGCCGACTGAAACAACAGGCACTCTTGAAACCAAGGAACAGGTTGGGGTGTAGGGTGTGGAGGAGCTGAGATTTCTGGGCTCCAGGATGAGTTCCGGACTTCCGGTGTGGTCCTTCAAGTGTCCCCCACAGCGTGAGGGGGCAGGGGAGGGAGCCCTCAGGGTTGCCATACCTGTCTGACCTGCCTCTCTGTCCTTCCGCTTAGCCTACCGGTCCTGGCTTGGCACCCGCACGGGCCACACCCTCTCCCTCTGGTTTCTGGAAGGAGGAGTCCTTCAGCACTTGGAAATGTGGGTGTTTGTTGGGGAGGGGGTGGTAACCTTCAAATCACTCTGGAAACAGCAATGTTTACAGGGCCTGGGAGAGAGCTTAGTATAAACAGGTCCTAGCAGGCTTTCCCTAGCCTGTTGGCATGTCTGGAGGCCAGAGCCTGGGGGAGGGCGAAAGGAGAGAAGAGGGCAAGAGAGAAAGCCTTGTGGTCATCGCGTCCCCTCTGGGGTGTCTCTGCATTAGTCTTTGAAGCTGTGTCCAGGCAGGGCCACGAACATGTGCCTGTGTGGAGGGGCGGGGTGAGCTCATCTGCTCATCGGTGTCTTTGGGTTTGCATCTGCTCCTCAAGGAAGCGGCTTCTGGGTGGAAGCTCTGTGCAGGAGCCTGGGTGTCTGCCTCCAGGTGGGGGTGCGGGCTTAGTCACCACCCTTCCCTGGGTGGAGGGCTTTGTGCTGCCTTCTGTCCCCAGGGGATCTGCTGGTCAGTGAAGAGCCCAGGAGTCTGCACTTCACGCCCTGCAGGGTCTTGCTGAGAATCCAACCCAGCCCTGGCCTAATTGCGGCTGGAATCCCTGCCTCCAGGACTCGAATCTCCCGCCTTCCACCCACAGCCTGCCCCACCTGCCCCACCCAGGCCTGGGGTGCCTTGTTGAGCTCCCCATTCTCCAGCTCCTTACAGGTGCCTACTCTGTCCCAACCTGCTCGCCTGACTCATTCTGGTAATGGGTTCAGAAAGACAGGTGCAGGCTCTTATCTCCCTCTCCTTTGGCCAACGGGGGGCCTGGGCAGAGGAGGTGGATCCAGGTGGCTGCGCCCCCCACTCTCCCCCACCCCACACAGGGAGGGGAAGGCCGAGAGCGGCTCCCCCAGGAGCAATGAGAACCCCAGGGCCCTGGTGCTGTCCCCCGTCCCTGAGCTCCCCCACCCCTTATGTCTTCAGCCCTGGTGCTTCATTCTCTGTGACCTTCAACAAGGCTGCAGTGGTCAGTCTGGTGAGGCAGGCCAGAGTCCTGCGAGGAGAGGAGACCACTCGATGGTGTCTAGGAAAAGTGCCGTTTTAGATCTCAATTTTGTGCCTGCAGACCCAAGGGGAAGAGCCAGGGGGTGCAGCCGGGCACATGTCTTTGTCCACTTTCCAGATACTTCCACAGCCCTCTAGGCACTTGGTGATGAGGTACAGCAGTCACTGAAGGGACTGGACAAAGTTGCGGCATCAGGCTCGGAACCCAGCTGCCCTCCGGCCTGGGTGGACCTTCACAACACGCAACTGATGAGAACCACGAGGTGGTATCTTTGGGGGTGTCACTGATCAGAGGAGACCCAAGTACCAGGGATCTTTTCTCCTGCTGTTTCCCAGCCCTTGAGTTTATTTCCCACAGAAGGGAAGAAGCCAAGACCCAGGAGTCAAGGTTAAAGCGGCTGGGAGACCCCGGGCAAGTCTTTGTTATAGGGAGCCGCGCTGGGCTGGGCAGGCGGGGCTCCTTCTGGTTTCACCCCGTTCTGGGGAGGTGCTGAGTGGGCTGCGGGTAGCAGCAGCTCTCTACTGCCCCCATCAGAATCCAGCCTATAGGTGGCAGGTAGTTAGGCCCTGCCCACTGCAGACCTGGCCACTCAGGTCTGAGTCCTGCCCCCTCCTCTGGGGCAGGGTTCTCTATAAAGGCACAACCCTGGGCAGCTGTACCCCTCAGAAGCTGCCTCTTCGCTCCTTCTTGGGTCTCTGTCTGCTCTGGCCTGCTCACTCCCACTCAGCCTCCACCATGTCCATCAAGATGAACAAGTACTATGCCAGGTCCTCCATCTCCAGCACGTCTGGCCCCCGGAGCAGCTTCAGCAACCACTCCTACACTTCTGGGCCCAGAGTCCAAATCAGCCCCATTTCCTTCCCGCTGGGGCAGGGCATGCTGGGCAGCGGGGGCATGATGGGTCTGCCGGGGGGCTACGGTGGGGCCATGTCAGCCATCACGGTGAACCAGAGCCTGCTGAGCCCCATTAAGATAGGGCTGGACCCCGAGATCCAGGCCGTGCGTGTCCAGGAGAAGGAGCAGATCAAGACCCTCAACAACAAGTTCGCCTCCTTCATTGACAAGGTGAGGGCTTCCCGGGGTGCTGGCCGGGTCTGAGCAGCCTTCCTAGCTGGGGCTCTCTGGCCCCCCACCGGAACTGGACCCCACCCACCCTGGCAACTGTCTCCCCCTCCAACCTATGGCTCACGCCTTCCTGCACTTTGGTGGGGCTCCTTCTCACTTCACGTCTTGGGGCTCCCTCCCTCCCTCTGGTCTCACCCCAGCCTTCTTGGGACTCCCTCCCTCCCTCTGGTCTCACCCTAGCCTTCTTGGGGCTCCCTC